ATCGAGTGGCAGGGGGCTCCTCACACCTTGGTCTTAGGCCTTCACATTCTATGCTCTTTCCTTAGGAAAGCATTTTTCAAACTGCAGGTCTCAACCTTTGATTGGGTCAGAATATTCACTTAAAGGGCCATCACATCTGTTTCCTCGGCTGATCTGCCGTAACAGTGAACACAAACCGGGTGACTTGAATTTATTGTCTCACAGTTATGGAGGCCAGAAGTCCAAAATCAAGGTGTGGGCAGGATTGGTTCCTTCTGGAGGTTCCCTGCCTCCCTCCTGGCTTCCGGTGGCTGCCCCGGTCTTCGGCATTCTTTGGCTTGTGGCTGTGTCACTCCAATCCCTGCCCCATCTTCCTGTGGCCTTCTCCCTTGTCTTCCTATGTATCTGTGTCTGTCAATCTCCCTCTCCTTATACGGACACAGGTCACTGGATCTAGAGGCCACCCTACTCCAGTATGACTTCATCTTACCTTGAGTACATCTGCAAAGACTATTTCAGAATAAGGTCACAGTCATGGATACCAGGGTTTAGGACTTCAACATAGCTTTAAAGGGGACACAGTCCAACCCACACTAGTCATGACCAATAGACTTTTTTTTTTCTTTTTTCAGTGAAATAGAATCTAGGAAAAAATACCAGCATTCATTGCAGGCAGTAAAGTTAAGCATCATTTCATAAAACTTTATACACATACACGTATATTAATATATGTGCTGGTTAATACATGTATTTTTTATGTCAGAAAAGTTTATGAAACTTAAAAAGAAGTGGCGGGGGGGGCGCTTTAAAAACACCTGCCTCCTGCAGCCTCTGCTCACAGTGCATCCCCCTCACCCCCGGCCTCTTCCACTGAAGGAGCCAGCTCTGTGTTCTGCAGCCACACCCACCGGGCACTCACCTACTCCCCACCTGCCTGCCACGGGGCCTTGGCGCCTGCTGGTCCTTCTGCCCGGAATGCTCTTCCCTACGCTCTTCATCCAGATTTCATCTCTCCTTCTTCAGATCTCAGAGCAAATATTACTGGCCTAGAGAACTCCTGCTAGAGCCAAGCTGAGCCCACTGTTACATTTTCTCACAGTTCCCATGTTTTCCCGACAAAGCCGTGATCCTGGCCTTCACAAAAACAATTCCTCTATCTCTATATCTATACATGTTTATCTTGTGTGATTATTTTGTTAATGTTCGTCTCTCTTACCATGCTCATAGTCCGCTGTGGTTTGTGGGTCTTGTCTGTTCTCCATATTATAGTAATATTAATATTCCAATATGAATACTCATATTTCTACATTAGCTTTGTGTCTGGCCCAAGTGCTCAGTAAATGTTCACTAAGTGAATCGATCTAAATGACCATTGCAACCATGAGGGGAATATTATGCCCAGCCTGAGATTTTAAAGGAAGGACCTAGCGTGGCTCCAGTGCCTGCCAGATAAGACAGGGACATCATCACTCTCTTGTTGTTCACAAACACCTAGGACTGAGCGTCATGCACCATTCTCCCAGCACTACAGAGGAGGAGACTGAGGTCAGAGTGGTCGAGTAAATTGCCCGGTGTGCTTAGATTTAGGCTCAGGCTGGCCTTACCCCCAAGCCTGGGCTGTCGCTCGGGGGTATGTTTGTTGGAGTGAAGATGCAAGAAACCAGGTGCTAAGGTTAGACCACAGGGACCAAATTCACACAATTTTATGTCCAGGTTACAGCCTGGATGTGGGATCCCAGATCTCCCTGGGTGGTAGGAAGTGTGCCTTCTAAGCATACGTTCTCCTGCTCAGTCATGCCGTGGGTGGGCGCAGGTGAGAAGCTCCAGGCCATCCTGGCTCAGTGGAGTCAGGCATGTGTGTTCCCCACTGTGAATCTCAGCTCTCTTATTGAGAAAATGGGCACAGAGGTGTCGGCTTGCTCAGCTCATAGTCTGATTCCAAAATCAAGTGAAAGGAAAGCACTTTGAAAGATGCGACGCTGTGTCGTGCTGTGGAGGCACGGAAAGTCCCTGGTCCCGGGGGTGCGTGCTGTGGGTGTGGGAGTCTGAAGAGTTGGATTCTCTACTCCTTCCCGGTGAGGATGGCCATGTCCTTTTGCTTCTCTCCTGTACAACTGGTGCAGTCCCTTAGGCTGTTTATTGCTAGAGAGGAACTTAGTTATGGTCCCCAGGGCTGCCGCCAGCCCGGGGTTCTGCTTCCAGGCAATAAGCTTTATTAGCCCTACACTCTCAATTATCCTTTTTTCCTCCTCCGTGGGAAGAACGAAGAAATGGCTTGAGAAGCCCTCTTGAGGTCTGGTGACAGCTGTGACTTTATTTGGGGATTATTCTGGGGCATGTATAGATTCATCAAAGCTGCCTTCTTATTAAAACCAAGGAAAAGATCCCTCTCGCTGCCAGGGACATCCAGCCGGCCCTTCCCCTCAACTCCCCGCTCTCCCTCACTGCCTGTGCTCCAGGCTAGAGCGCCCTTGTCCTGTTTGACAGTTAAAACCGCCTCTTTAGCACCTTGATGCCGCAGGCGCGACTCTCCTGAGGGGTGTGCTCTCCTGTCCTTGCTAATCCCCCAGTTCTCAAATACTGCCAGCGACTGTCATCTTCCACCTACACGACAGTAAAGTCTACCTGAGAATGGAACTCCCTCACCCCTCAACCTCCTTCACCACCCAATGGAGAGGCATTGTGCAGGGAGGCAGGGAGGGGTGGGGAGCAGCAGGGAGGGGTGGGGAGCATCGGGGAGGGGTGGGGAGGGGCAAAAGGATGGGGAGGAGCGGATGCACCTGGCCTTCCAGATCCAGATTGTGGTGCCAGCTCTGGAAATACAGCAAGTCACTCCTGAATTTCCCAAACCGCAAGTGGGAAATCCACTGCAGCTGAGTCTCCTGTACTTTAGGATGTCTGAACTTTAGGATTTCCCTGGAATCATTATCATTCTAATCATTCTGGGACCTGAGAGAAGTAACTGAGCCGGGTCCAGCAAGGCACAGACACTGATGAAGTTCAGCCTAGCATTGGGCCTTTTTTTTTTTTTTTTTCTTGAGACAGAATCTTGCTCTGTCGCCCAGGCTGGAGTGCAGTGGTGCAATCTCAGCTCGCTACAACCTCCACCTCCCAGGTTCAAGCAATTCTTCTGCCTCAGACTCCCAAGTAGCTGGGATTACAGACACGTGCCACCACGCCTGGCTAATTTTTGTATTTTTAGTAGAGACAGGGTCTCACCATGTTGGCCAGGCTGGTCTTGAACTCCTGATCTCAGGTGATCCACCTGCCTCGGCCTCCCAAAGTGCCGGGATTACAGGAGTGAGCCACTGCACCTGGCCTGGGCCTTCCTATTTTGAGGGAATCATCCCAGAATGAGAAGAACTCTGTGTCGCTGGGATGGAGAAGCATGTGCAGAGCTTGAGTGGGTCAGTACATGCCAGGCCGATCCCACTGTGAACATTTCACCTCTGCTGGGGAACACGGGGGCAGGGGCTGTTTGTGTTCGGGGGGGCCACCTCTTTCTGATGCCACGTTCCTGGGCTTGCCCAACACCTGCTTGGCTGGAAGGTGACTCACCCACCTGCACAGCGAGAACCTCACCAACCTCAAGGATGCCAGCCTGCCAGGTCACCCCACAGCCAGCTACATCCTTGCCCAGCCCTGGCCGCAGCAGCCGCTGGGATCCCTTTGTCTTAGTGCAGGAGCAAAATGGGAATGGGGAGCCAGCAGTATAAGCTTCCAAGCAGTGTTCAGGTCGTGTGTCTCCTGGGTAGTTGGGGGCGTGAGTTAGGCAGGTGCTTTCCTCTCTCCCACCCACCCGGATCCAGTAGCTTTGCTGCCTGCGTGCTTTCGCCAACCATGGATGGGCCTCTCCTGCTGTGGCCTCAATGCTGGGCCGTCTCCCCATCTGAGATCCACCCCCCTTAACCGAGTCTGCCTGCATCAGTGCTCACCTGGTTTAGGGCTGCGCTTAGAGCTAGCGTGTCCTGGTAGCGAGTGGCGTAGGCTCCAGTTCCTTTTCTCCGCCGGCACTGTGGGCCAAGGCGCGTGGCCTCCCACGCACCACAGCAGAGCTGCCAGGCGAGATTGATCTTCTGTGGTTGAGATGATCACTCTGGCTGTAGCCTGCTCACGCCATGAGTGACAGACAGGTGCTTAGGGCACCAGAGACTTCTCTAATAAGGTGGCAGCAGGCCGAGGTTGTTGATTTACCGTCCAGGATCTTCGTCTCGAGAGCCACAGCGCGTTCGTCTATAATCAGTGCTTTCCTTCTCACATCTCCTGACACGAGGATGAGCAGAGTAAGCTCGATGACACAGCTGCTCAACTGTAATCCTGTATGATCATTTTGCAAATTATTATTTTTAATATAATCAGCTTTTTCCTTAGGCAATAAAAGAAAAAGTTAAATTGTTCACAAAGTAATAAAGGTTTATCTTCTGGAGCATCAAATTCTGTTTACTCATGAAACACACACCTCCTCTGTGCGCCCTTCGGGAGGAAAATTAGCATTTATTTTCCCTGATAAACAAAAACAGTGGAAGATTTGTTGGCATCTTTTGGTGTTAAGCCCTTCCTTACATTTAAAATGACATAGAGGAATGCAAGAACTTTGGAAGAGGTCTGCCCTGACTCTGGATTTAATTTTAACTTTGGAAAAAAATCTGTTGTGTGCAGTAGAATATTATGTGGTGTCTGCAGTGCCTAGACGCTAACAACATGCATGGAACCAAGCTCCCCCTTGGACCCAGGAGCCAAGAGACTGAAGAAAGGGAAATGCTTTCATGACTCTCCACAACTTCCCCCACGTTCCCACGGGAGGGACGATGTCGTGTACTCCTCAGTGATGAGAAAGTGAGATTCCCCCAGCTAGATCCCTCCTCGTTTGATTCCTTTTGGTGGCAAGAGAAGTTGAAGCTTTGACACTCTCTTTATTTGTCTCAGTGCCAGAAGGCTTGATTGCACTTAAGACTAATTCCATTCCGATTTTCAGATGCTCTCTGGAGTGATTCAGTGTTTTTCTTTTCCCTGATTTCCAGGTACGGAGATATGAGGAGACAGATTGGCTTTGAAATCAGAGACATGTGGTACAACCTTGGTGAGTAGCCTGGATGTGGGAGCATGGTGAATATCTTGCATCCCTGGTGGTGCGTCATGACACTAGCCCTGTTCATCAGTGTTGGGATGTCTTAAGATCTTAATGGCTTCTGTTCCTTGGACAGCAGTTGCTACTCTTTGTAGTAACTGTTTTCAGGATTTAAGAGATAGAAGACCAAAGGCAAGGAAAGAAAATCTCACGGATGTGGCAAAAAGAAAAATCCGCAGAGCACCCTCTTGTGTCAGGTGGACATATGGCTTGGAGCTCCCCCCTCCCTGGCATTGCCTTCCTCCCCCAGTCGCCTCAGTTCCTTCTGTGTCAAACAGGAAGCCCATCCTGCTTTGACATTTGCCATCACCTACCATATTCAGTTTTATAGACTCTGCCTTCTGAAGGGTTAATTCACCTCCTCAAAAGCAGATCCTGTATTTAGGTACGCTGCCACCAGGTGGTGGCAGCCTAACATGCTCCTGCACTCAAAGCAGTGAAGGGTCTGTGTGTATATATGAAATTAATATGATTTTATTTATAAATTAAGTAATTAAGTTTTTCCAACTAATTTTATCATGAACAGTAAGAATAAATTCACTATTAAAATTTCAACCAATGTGACATGTAATTCTTGTAGATAAGCCCCTTCAAGAAATCAGTGACTGACAATAACTTGGTATCTTCCCAGCATCTTTACAGTACCCTCAGCATCTCTACGGTACTCTACAGTACAGAATCCGGCCTCACTCCTCCTTGAGATGAAGCTCCCTCTGGCTCCTGCCCTCAGCCCTGGGCTTGCTTTGTGCCGAGGTGTCCTAGGCCATGGGGTGGTGGTGGCCTTGCCTTGGTCCTGAGCAAAGCATCAGTTGCTTTTCTGCCCCAGGATCTCCAGGCCTCTACTTCCTTCCTTCAAATGGACACGAGAAGCCTGCATTGGCTTGTTGCGAGAAACCCTCCACTCTCCCCTCTACCTCAGAGAATCTTTTCCTACTAGAAGGAGGCAGGGGTCTGTCCGCATCACTCTGTTAGCCTCGTTGCATTAGGGTTTCACTTGTTGCACCAGGGTTGGGACAACTTAGCTGCGCCCCAGCCTGCTTACTTCCCGAGCCTCTGTGAGTCCCTGCGGTGGCTGGAGAACATGGCAAGAAAGACGCGGAACCCAGCGAGCCACACTTCACTTCCAGCTCACTATTTGCTTTTGCATCTTCCTTGCCATTCTTCGGTTTGACATGAGGCCTAATTAGGTTCTCAGGAATGGAAAGCCACAGCAGATGCTCCCAGGTGAGGATGAAGAGCGGGTCAGCGTGGCCCTGTCTGCCTGTGCCCTCCCAGTACAAAGAGAACCTACACCATTGCATCCTTTCTGGGTGTCCGTCCTGGAGTCAGTGGAGGACCCCTCAAGGAAGCTCTGTGCTAGGTCTCTGCACATGACTTTGCTGCAGTAGCTCCTGTGTCCAGAATCTGAGTATGGGGTCTCAGCTCTCAAAGGGCCTGCTGATCTCTGCAACATGATATTTACCAGGCACCATCCTGACCTTGGCCTTCCTGCCATCCCAGGGAGGAAGGTAGGGGCTCTGGGCTCCGAGTCAAGGGAGATGATAAGTCCCACCTTGAAGTTTTCATCCTCTCCTACTCCTGCCTCCCTGTGAGGCCTAGTTCACCTGGCTCAGTCTTTCTGGGCTGTTAGATAAAGTGGTTGGACTGAATTTTTCAAGAGCCTTCCAATCCCAAAACTCAAGAGTTCTATGACATATATATATACGATGATCTCAGTAATAAAGTGCTAAGGCTTTTAGAACAGGGAGGAGGACCATCCATGATTCATTCTAATTGATCTCTCTGTGTTCTTTGTTAAAATCGTGCTCTGACAGATGCATGTGTCATTTGCTCCGGCGGGCCAGATGGCAGGCTCCACGCCAGGCGGGGACCCAGTGTGGTCCCAGGAGAGAGGCAGGCAGGAGAGGGCGGAGGGCTTTCACAGCCATGGCATGGAGGGGGCTGTTCTCTCTTGGAATTCAGGGAGTCCAGGACTTTTATAGGCACCAGCATTCATGAAGGAGGTGACATGAGCTCCACCTGCCACAGTCGGGCTCTCAGGGCAGACCCCAGACCTCTCCTCTGGACACAGGCTCTCTCTGAGGCCATCTTTTACCCTGGCCCCTCCTAAAAGAGTGAGTCCGTTTTCTTCTATACTTCAGCTCTGAAGTATAGATGGTGAGTTGTCTATTTTCCCCAATTGGACGCTTGCACATATACTTTCAAATGAAGGTTCTCATTCTGATGTGACTCAGTAACATTTCACACCATTTTTGATAACTAGAGACACCACCCTAGCAGAGGGTCTGATGGGTATTTACATACTGAAATGCTTCCTTCTCCCCGTACACAGCTGCAGCCACCATGCGACTCACCCTGGCCCCTGAGCACCCCCAGGATCCTCCACTGCTCTCCATGTGCCACGGTCATTGCCTAGCACCGAGGGAGCCTCTAAAACTCAGCTCGAGCCACAGCTGGCCAGAGATCACCCTGACTGATGGGTGCTCCTGCCTTTCTAGTTTTCTGGTTTGGGGTTGTTTTTGTTTTCAAGAATATTTAATGTCACCTGTGTAGTCCCTGAGATTGATCACCATTGAAAGTGGCTCCATTTCTATTTGTGCCATGTGCCACGGTAACAATGAAGGAAGGAAAGGCGGGCCCAGAAATGGTGAGTTTCTCCGCATGCCCCCTCCAAGTGCTTGGACAGGCCCAGCCTTCTGAAGATGCACTTGGGTCTGACACAAAGCACTTGGTTCTCTTGACATTGTCTGTCATGCCCCAGATAGGCCAAGTCAAGCGACAGGAGACTTTTGATTTGGAAAAGGTTGCAGTGAAGAGAGCAAATTTCCCCCTTCCCTCCTGTCAGTGGCTGATTTGAATATGGTGATTAATGCATGAGATGTGTGTTTTGCAGCTTTTTAGCCAGGAACATTGACTCTGGCCTGAGAAGCGGCCAAGAGGTCAAAAGTAAACCATGACTGGCCAATTAGGGTCACGGACTTGGAAACAACAGGAAATAACAGTCAGCCACCAGAGTTGGGTTCCTTGCTGGTAAATATGTTATGTTTCAAAGTGAGGGAGATGATCGTAAAAGCACCTGCAGCCCACAGGATATTCAAGCAGCCCCTCAGGATAGCTAAGGATAGCCCCACAGGGTGGCCTCAGGAGCCCAGCTCCTTCCTGCCATGATCCCAGGTGCCTGAGTGTCTTTGCCAAGGCTGTCGCGCTCCAAATTTATGACAGCACATCTCAGTTTCCCAGGATGTACACAGCCTACTTTGCACATAGTTTTTTTGTTTGTTTGTTTGTTTTTTACTTTTTTTGTAAATGGGTGCAGGTTTGGGAACATATTGGCAGGATGATAGCACTGACTCTGCCAAGAAAATAGAAATGGAAATCAGATCTATTTGTCAGCTTGCAATTAATAAACTGTCACTTGAGCAGACCTTCAGCTGAACACTCCACAAGTCTCCTCCTTGAGTCTTTCCAGTAGTATGCATGGCCCATAGAGAGGAGCATCTCAGCTCTTGCCTCCTCCATGCCCAGCCTCAGAGGAGGGATCTGGGGTCTGTTTTGCTCAATTTAATGCAAGGGCAAACGTGGCACTGCCCCATGGGACAGAGTGATGTGTTTCTTTCCCTCCCAAACCTGTCATATTTTGAGTCTGAAAGGAGAAATCAAAAGCAGGCTCTCTCTCAAAAGAAAAAAGGGGGGGAAATGTGTTTATTTACCCAGCTCCTGAGTTATTTATCAAAGCGTACTCTGTGCAGCAGCCCGCCGGAGCACCTGATCTCCTTGCCTGTGCCGCCTCGATTTACATTTTGTTTATTACATCCAGCACACTGGAGCGAGCACTAGACCCGAGCCAGCCAGAACAAATGTGCTTGGAGCAAGATCTTTATCTGCCGTATTGGGTTTGGGATATTTTTCATGCAGGGATTCCCTTCATGGGTGTTTTTTGGTGACTGAGCAAATTGTATGCTTTTCATTAAAACCTGCATACAGTGTGGCCTAACGGGTTTGGCTGGGTGGTGGAACTTTTTGCTCTGCCTGCTCTTGTGTATAGAGATTTTTCTGGGATGAGTCTATGTTTAATGTCCCAGATTTTTTAACACCAGTGATTGCAAAGAGATAATTTAAACACCTACAAGGAGGCTTCTGACAGGGGAGGCCCTGGCTTCGTGAGAAAACAAGATGTTGTTCCCAGGGGAAGCAGCTCCATGTTCTGTAACTAGAACAGACTCTAGGTGGGCTATGAGACTGGCAAGGACTGGAGCTAAAATATTCTCCTCATCACCTTCCTTTGTCTCAAAAGCGTGCCCTCCTTTTCTTTTAAGTCTACACTGCAGGAGTCACCTTGGTCCTCATTGGTTCCAAACCTGAGTTCATCATTAAATTTGAGCAAGATGTGCTCCAGGGAAAATCCATAATACAAATATAAAAAAAAAAAACAAAAAACGGTGGCTACCAGAGAACATTCCCTCCCCACTCCTGCTCGCCTTGGGGACCATTGGTTTGCGAAGAGTCAGTCCCCAGGGTTGTCACTGTGCACAGAACTCGGTACCAGCTCCAGGCCAGTGTGTGTCTGTTCTAATAAGGAGGGTAATAATCAGAGGTTAAGCTACTGTCATTTTGGTCGCTTCTTTTTCCAATCCCGGCTTCTACAACCACTTGTTACTGCTTTCTATGTTTTTCCCAGCTTGGAACAATAAAACCTGTGGGTGACAGACAGAACTTTATGACACTGAAATTGTGGTTGATGAACAACTTGCTGTCACCATCATCTGTTTTCTGAAACATTGGCTCTGACATTTTTTAGGCATAATACACGGAAAGTTGTCACCTGAGAGATGGAATATAATAGCGTTTTCAAGAGAATGCTTTGCAGCAGTTACAGGCCTTTCAGAAACATAAAGCATTTGGGAAAGTGATGAGAATCACACAGTGATAGTCTTAGTCAAATTATTAATTATGTCGTAAAAGTTAAAAATAAGATGTTAATTACATTTTGTGTGTATGTCCATCCAATAAGAAGTCATTCAGTCTAATTATGAGGATTACCTATTTTCTTAAGTATAGTTGTAGTAACCACATTTGTTTAATGATTCTCTTTACAGAAATGTATATTTGCTGAATTGCAAAGAAAACTCAAGAATTTAGTTTCCTGATTGTGTAAAAATATTAATAAGATTGATTAATTTGGGATACATTGTTGGTGTTAACAAAATATCGCAAATATTTTATTCAAACATTTAATTTCTTGGGCATTCTTCTGTTATATTTCGGAAATGAAATGGTTTAGTTGCAGTGGGGTGAAATGAAAACAAAATCAAGATTTCTGAAAGACAAGAGGGTCGGCTTTTAAAAGACCACCTTTTTGATAGGACCTGCCTCTGAGTTTCGTTATGTCGCCTTAACTAAGGTCCGCAGCCCCGTGTTTAGGAAGGAGTCTTCCAGGAGCTTCGTTCCGGAGGTGCAGGGTCCAGGCGGTGAAAGAAGCTTGGCAGCTGCTGTGGTTTCCGCCCGCCGCCATCGCTCTGAACTTGCCTGGTTCACTTCAAGCTCTTTAGGAGCTCACCCTGATCCTCAGAGGTGCAGCAGCCATGCACCCACAGGATATGGGGTCCCCAGCTGGGGTGGGGACAGTGGCAGCCAACCCACAGCTAGCAGGAGGAAGGGGCTGGCCACATCAGGCCCAACCACCGGCTGCTCGGCCCGGTCACCAGATTTCCCGATGGTGATCCTGGGCTAGCATCTTTCTAAGTCAGAGATAGAGGCCCAGGAAAGTACGATACCAAGATTTCCAACAAAAACCATTGAAATTAAAAACATAAATTGAGTGCTTGTGAGAAGCCAGTCTCTACTTTCTGGGAGTTTATTTTAGAATTGTAATATCTCAGCAGTGGTGGATAAAATGACAGAAAATGACAGATCACTGACCTCTCTGTTCATTTTGCAATTATAGAGGACGAATAAGGGAGTGGACAGCTCAAACAGTTTCTCTTTCAGAGAGGCGGGTAGGGTCCGAGTGGCATGCAAAGATCCTGAGACAAGCAAACAGGGAAGGAATTTGCAAAATGAGAGTCACAGCTAAGCCTTCATAATCTCAGACCCGGGTTCAAATCCTGCTCCTCCCTTTCTCTGAACAGCTCGCAGAATAGCTTTGGGAACAGCCCACTTTCCTCATCTGTTTAACAGGTTAAGAAGGTGCCCATCTCACAAGGTTACTGTGAAAATTCAGTGAGATGATGCTTTCTCCTGAGCTTGTCATGTAAATTGTAAATGCTAGCTAATATGATCGTATTATGATTCACATTTGAAAACTTTTGAGAAACATTTTTCTCAGTTCTTTAAAAATCATATCTGGGACAAGCTAGGTGAGATGAGATACAATAAAGTCATTCTTTAAATAAGCATTTTCCTATCAAACAATAGCTCGAGAAGGTCGAATCACTGCTGTTTTTAGGGTTTCAGCCTCGGATGCCGGCGCCTTGATTTACTTTGATTGGAGTCATTTGGAATGTTGCAGAAATCACTCTGCATTATTTACAGAGGTGTCAAATGCTAAACTCATCTTCATAAGATGTGGGAGATAAAAAGGACCCAAGAGACTATCTGCTCTCTCTCATTTGTCGGCTCCTGTTCCTGTCACTGTGCACAGAGTTAGAGGCTGAGACTCCCCACTCGCAGCCCCTGCTCTATTCAGAACTGGGAATCAAGCTGCATGTGTTCTCAATCCGTGTGATAGAATCGGCTGCTTGTAAAACAGTGTTTATCTTCTCTGACAGAGAAGTCATGATTACAGGCTTATATTGCGCAGCTCTTTGAATAGCTTCACTTATAAAATGTGGAATACAGGCCACCTCTTATACTAATGGCTGGGAAAGTTCAAAATCATCATCTGCAGAGAGAATTTGATGCATATTTTCAGGATCCTGCTGCTCAAAGTCACAGTGATCTGTGTTGTGTTGTTTTATCCATTTAAGCCCATTTTAGAATTCTATTTTTCTTTATTTCTGAATACTGTATTTCTTTATTCCAAGGTCAACACAAGATAAAGTTCATTCCAGAAATGGTGGGCCCAATATTAGAAATGACGTTAATTCCCGAGACGGAGCTGCGCAAAGCCACCATCCCCATCTTCTTTGATATGATGCAGTGTGAATTCCATTCGACCCGAAGCTTCCAAATGGTAAGAACATAGATGTGCAGCGAGTGGCCAGGGACATGAAGGAGACAAACCCGAAAACCTTGAAAGAAACTTGTAGACAATTCTAGAGTTAAAGGTGCCAACGTGGAAAACACATTTTCCTACAGCTTGAGACAGAAAAGGCCTGTGATTTTCCTTATTGAAGAAGCTTATCATCCCTTGCACTCAACTTTCGGAAGGATTATTCTGAATTTTTAGCTCTTACTTACTTCTTTTAATCTGGGTTTACTTACACATTCAACCCTGGATAAAAGTCTCTTGCTCCCACTTCTTGGTACGTGCTCTTGTAGAGTGTTTACTCAAAGGTCATGTGTTATATTCTCTCAGTCCGGCTGCTTATTGCAGAATTATGGTATTTTGAAAGCTGAAGTCTTTGCTTTTATTCTCTTAAGTATGTGTCTTAAGAGACTTAAGGTCTTTTGCCTGTGCGATGAAACTGATGAAAATTCCTCTAAGAAAGTGTATATAAAGTGCTCAAAACATACTGTGCCAAACAGCATGAGGGACCAACTCTGCTGCATAACTTACGCTCAGGAAGTAACAAAATCTCCTGGATCCCAAGAAAATAAGTATATAGTGTTTATGTATTCTTGGGTTGGCACCCACACCCACACATACACAGGCACATCCCCACATACACATACACATGTGTATCCCCACACACACATACACATGTATATCCCCCACGCACACACACATATCCACACACACATACACATACACATGCACATCCTCACACACACATACACATGTATATCCCCACACACATATACACATACACATGCACATCCACACACACACACACGTATATCCACACACACATACATATACACATGCACATCCCCCACACACATACACATGTATATCCCCCACACACATATACACATACACATGCACATACACACACACACACATATATCCACACACACATACATATACACATGCACATCCCCCACACACATACACATGTATATCCCCACACAGATATACACGTACACATGCACATCGGGGCATCTAGACACACGTATATCCACACACACATACATATACACATGCACATCCCCCACACACATACACATGTATATCCCCCACACACACACGTATATCCACACACACACACGTACATCCTCACACACACACACGTATATCCACACACACATACATATACACATCCTCACACACACACATACACATCCTCACACACACATACACACGTATATCCACACACGTACACATACACATGTACATTCCCCACACACACACACGTATACACACACACACACATGTATATCCTCACACACACATGCACATCCCCACACACACACACGTGTATCCCCACACATACATACACATGTACATCCCCCACACACATGTATATACACATACACATACACATAGACATCCTCACACACACATACACATATATATCCCCACACACATATACACATACACATGCACATCCCCCCACACATACACATGTATATGCCCCCACACACACACGTATATCCACACACACACGTACATCCCCCACACACACACGTATATCCACACACACATACACATACACATCCTCACACACACACACGTGTACATCCACACACATGTACACATACACATGTACATCCACACACACACATACACATGCACATCCCCACACACATACACATGTATATACACACACACACACGTATATCCCCCCCACATACACATGTATATCCACACACACACATATATCTCCACACACATGCACATACACATGCATATCCCCACACACACATACACATGTATATCCACACACACACACACACACACGTATATCCCCACACACATACACATATACACGCACATCCCCACACACACATACACATGTATATCCACACACACACACACACACACACACACGCGTATATCCCCACACACATACACATACACATGCACATCCCCACACATGCACATGGTATGACTTTCTCCTTAGTGTACTAATGGTTTGGCCATGATGCTTTGCAGGAGACCTAGGAGAAGCCCAAGTGCTAGGGAGTCCTCTGAATTGAAAGATACCTTTTAAAAAGTATTATACTGGACCAGATGTGGTGGCTCACGCCTATAATCCTAGCACTTTGAGAGGCCAAGGCAGGCAGATCACTTGAGCTCAGGAGTTCGAGACCAGCCTGGGAAACATGGCAAGACTCCGTCTCTACAAAAAATACAAAAATTAGCCAGGCATGGTGGTGCACGCCTTGGTCAGGGAAGTCAAGACTGCAGTGAGCTGTGATCACGCCACTGCACTCCCGCCTAGGTGACAGAGCCAGACCCTGTCTCTAAATAAATACATAAAAATTAAAAATTATTATAGCAATTCAAGTCAACATACTAAGCACTTTACATAGATTTTAGAGGAATTTGCAGAAAAATTCCTATAATGAAAGGAAATCAAAACTTCATCAATCAAGATAGTTTAGTGTTGGTGGGATCTAATATTAAAGGGTATATTATCCTTACCCACTTCTGCAGTTTATCATTTAAGGGAACTTTGAGTAGTTTATAGATTTTCATTGGTCATCTTCATCATATCACACGAAGGCAGCATCCACGAAGCATGATTTTGCTCTTTCGTAGAACAGAAAAGAGAGAGACAAAACAAAAACCGTCTCCACAGCGTGAGTGGAAGTTGAGTTTAGATCCTGAGGGCAGGGAGACTGAGGTTCACAGGCTGAGCCAGTATTATCTGGGTCTTCAGCAAATTACTCAGCATCTTCTAAGTCTCCAATTCAAGCCTGTAACCTTGGCATGAAATAGAATCTACCAGAAAGGCGTGTAGTGAGAATGAAGTAAAATCAGACCTGTACACCCCCTAGCATGGTGCCCGGCACCGTAAAAGGCGGCTGTGGACGCTGCTGTTGTTTCAGGGCTCAAACCTCCGTTGGTCTGGGTGTTTGTGGAGTGCAGGGGGCAGCCTGCAGGGTGAGCCCCCAGTGTCTGCAGGCCCATGGGGCCCAGCGCTGCATACCACCCCGGGCGTGGCCATTTCATCGGGGTTGCTCCCGAAGCCGGGGAGGAGCGCACGGGAGATGAACAGAGTCTGACTGCTGGAGCCATTTCCTTCAACCTTCACACGCCCACAACTGTGCTTCCAAACCCATTGCAGAGGAGCCTAACACCTGGCTAGGGTATCATTATTTGTTTTTTGCACTTTGCTCCACTAGGCAGTTTTTTATTTTTTTGAGTCGGAGACTCACTCTGTTGTCCAGACTGGAGTGCAGTGACGCAATCTCAGCTCACTGCAAACTCCGCCTCCCGGGTTCAAGCGATTCTCCTGCCTCAGCCTCTGAGTAGCTGGGACTACAGGCGTGCACCACCATGCCTGGCTAATTTTTGTATTTTTCGTAGAGACAGGGTTTCACCGTGTTGACCAGGATGGTCTCAATCTCTTGACCTCGTGATCCACCCACCTTGGCCTCCCAAAGTGCTGGGATTACAGGAGTAAGCCACCGCGCCCAGCCCTAGGCGGTTTTTTATAAGGTGACTGTTATTTTCACATTATTCTAACTGTGGACAGTAGGGAGGGCTTTAGTTTAACTTCCCCAGTGTAATGTCAGTTGTGCTGGGATGAGTGGTGTTAGTACCTGCCTCCCTTCTTCCTTCCTTTCTCCCTCCCTTTCTTCCTTCTTTTCTCCCTTCCTTCTTTCCTTCCCTTCTCTCTTTTTTTCCAAGATAGCAGAAGGTCTCCCTGTATTTATTTTTAATAATATTAAAGATAATTCGTTTTCGAAAGAACAGCTGTTTTTGTTTCTCTGGCTCACTCTCAGTCTGTGTATATACAAAGTGTTTGTATGAAGACTGTACTAATACAACATTGTAAATACTATACTTAGATTTTTTTATTAATGTTGTTTCTGTTTGACAGTATATCAAAGAGCTTTCCCTTAATTACAACATAGCAACCATGATATTAGTGATATTACTGATGGCATAAAATGAACTATCACTTTCTTGATATAACTGAGCATGTAGGTTGTTTGCAGATTTTCACTGCTGCGAATAACTGTGCAGTGAACACATTCATGCATATAGCTTGAATTTATTTTGAAAGTTTTCCCAGTATACATTCTCATAAATGTAATTACTGATTTCAAATATGTTTGTAACTTTTGATATTATTGCCAAGTGGTTTGATGTTAGTACCATAAGATTTGCCCCATCTCTGTTGCTGCTGGCACGATATCATGGCCCCAATTTCACTGCCAACTCGTTGGAACTACGAATTATAATTTAAATGCTTTTTCCTAGGCAGAAACTTCATCTGACTTTTTGAATTTTATATAAATCAAGCCCAAAGAAGGACTTTGTGAAAAATTGCTACTAAAGAATCAGGCTAAGGGGGAAAGTGTATTTATATAGATAAATGTCACTAGCACAGAAAACTAAGATCAAAAGTATTTAAAATATCATTCCATTTGTCACTTTTTAAGCAGTCTTTGGGTCAAAATAAGGTTAAGAGCAGTTAGAATAAAGATGAATAAGAGTTTGGTTTCTGAATTGTTCCCCTGTTCCCTCACATTCTTTTGTCTCATGGCTGCCTTGTGGTAGGTTTAAAAAATCTTACAATAGTCTTCTGAGGAAGTGGTTCATTTTCTCCAATTTGCAGGGGCCCCAGGTTTGCTAGGAAATGGTCTGAAGTTAAGGAGAGCCACAGAATTTGTGCCACCATTTTAAACACTGTCTTCCCATTGGGCTTCACACTCCACCCAGCGTCAGGAAACATCTTTCCAGAAAACCAAACTGTTCTTGAGTAATACCATGAAACAGGTGGTATATTTAGTTCCATCTCATAAACACCAGACTATTTCACAGGCATGAAACATGCCGTGCTTGGATGTATGTAAATCCAAGTGTAAGCGTGAAGACACAGATTCACCCACAAGAAGGACCCACCGAGCGTGGTCAGCTCCCTGAACTGTTGGTTCAGAGTCACCTGTTTTACC